TTAGAATCCTAGAAAATACAGAGCAAAATAGACATTTAACACTCCAGAATCTGGAATAATTTTTAATACAAGATAAACACTGGCTTGAAATTGTAAGCATTGTTTTTTAACACATGAAAAAGGCCAATATCCAACTCCATCTTCTAAGAATGGTTTAAATCCAGAAGCAAATTGCTGAATTTTGACACTATAAGTAGCAAATGTTAAAAGTTATCCTGGGAAATATTACCCCCCCAGTGTTAATAGTAGTTATAGCTTTATAAAAGCTATAATATAGCTTTTAGCGGTAGTTATAGCTCTACATCTACCTCTACATCTATATTTATAAATATTTAGATGTGATTTATTTTAATAGATATTTGATATTTCCTTATTTTCTTTCAACTTTACAATTGAATGAAAAATAACCAAGGCATCCTATTTAATATATTTGTTTCTGGAGTCTTTGTTATTACAAGAGATCATTTTGATCATCATAAGATTGAACACCAAGGTCCAGATCTTCCAAATAAATTGGTGGTGTACTTACATAAGTCTATCATGAAATCTCTGACAAGGATGTTGACTGAAATCAATGGGATTAGAATATGTTGAGAATACAGAAATAATGCCAGCAATGTTAACATCTCCAAGCTGATGATATGTGTGACGAATAGGAAGAGGTTCATCCAAGTCACAATGACTAATGGGTTCCTTGCACATCACTTGAAACATTAATATAAACAATGATTGTGTGAATATGACCATCTTCTGTGAGTGGCTTCTTTCTGTATACAAATGTCCTTGCCCACAACATGATCCTTGAATGTCTCCAATTAGATCAAACAGAGCTGACTTCTTCTTCTGTTTTTCAGATAGAAATAGGCAGTGCAACATACTATCGAATAAATCCACAGAGCTTTGTGGCTTCCCACATGGTTGGAATATCATGGGGAATAGTAATAATATTCTTAGTTTGCCTTGGATTCCCATGGGTTTCAAAGAGAGAAACAGGTAACCAATGTTTAATTATACTAACCAACCCAGAATTCTGAGCAATTCTACTCAGAAAAAGTATATTGTAACTCAAAAGAAAACATGCCAGGTTCCCCAGAGACAATATGCAATGTATTACAATAAAAAAATTGCCTAGATATATATTGATACATAATACAAATAGAGGAATAATAATTTATATAAAGTATAATTAAAATTTATTTATTGTCATGGACAATATTCTCATGAACACAACTAAATAATTTTCATTCCAACGATTTTTAAAGTGGAGTTTCATTGTGAGGGGGTCTTTGGTGCTGTTTGAGCTTTGTTGTTTGCTTGCAGATGTTTAATTATCCAAACTAGGTAACATCATCAGTGCTAATATAATGAAATGTCTGCAAGAAATCAGCCAAGCTCAAAGAGCACAAAGATACTCATTTCAACCCTGAGTTACAAATGTTCTTCTTCATCATAGTTTCATCATTCTGGTATTGTTAGACTGCTCAGTTGAAGCTATACTCCTGGAATTTGTGATTTATGACACACTAAGATGTGGGGAGTTCAACTTTTACTTTCCAACTTTTTTTGGGGGGGGGGGGGACTTTCAGTCTTGGTTTCACCTATGATTGTGCTGATATTATGTAGCCATTAAAAATGTTCTTTGAGGAAAGCAATTGCCTCACAGTTCTTATTTCTACTAGTCTCATTTATCGGAACCATGACATTAAACCAAGACTGCAAATTTCTTTCATCCATGGAGTTCTGAGCCCTGGTCACCTACCCAAGCCTTGGGAGGATGACAAAGACTCAGGGAAGACATAGAGATGGAAAAGAAAGGGGAATCACCCCCAAGCCTGGAAGCAGCTGCAGCGGATGGGACACAGGCTGCTACTTTCGTGGGGAGTGTGGTCCTAGCAGCTGGAGCGAGACCAAAGAACCATGAAGTCCTTCTGAAGAAGCTGATTCAGAAGGAGGAAGCCATTGTCCTCAGGGGGACCTGGTGGTCTGACGCTGGACTGCCCCTAAAGAGCATGCTGAAAGCTGCAGAGGTTGAATTCCCACTGGTTTCATTGCTTTGGAATGCAAATATTTCAGTGGAGGTTTGGATAATGATCATCTGGACATGCAGAGCAGTCATCCATGTCTGAAAAAGAACACAGTGGAGTTGATGTAGTGGATTATATGCAGTGTTGCACCATAATAGCTTAATCTCATTATAATTGGAAACTTTCTACTCTTCTTATCTGTTATTTTCCCCTCTGGACACAAACAGCAATCATAACAGCAAACGGCTCCCCTTCTTTCTTGGCCTTGCTATATCCTGCTTCACAAGGATCATTACACAAAGATAAAGGTGATGCTTATCAATGAATGAAGAAGTATTTTAAGATACAGAGAGGAAAGGAAGTGCTTGGAGAGATACTGTTACTTTGGAATTAACAGAATCAAAATATGTTGATAAGCAGAAGTAGTGTAATGACATTATTTTGAGATGTTATTAATTAATTAATAGTAGTAAAGTTGGAAGGGACCTTGGAGGTCATCTAGTCCAACCCCCTGCTCAGGCAGGAAACCCTATACCATTTCAGACAAATGGCTGTCCAGTCTCTTCTTAAAAACTTCCAGTGTTGGAGCATTCACCGCTTCTGGAGGCAGGTTGTTCCATTGGTTAATTGTTCTAACTGTCAGGAAGTTTCTCCTTAGTTCTAGGTTGCTTCTCTCCTTGCTTAGTTTCCACCCTTTGCTTCTTGTCCTACCTTCAGGCGCTTTGGAGAATAGCTTGACTCCCTCTTCTTTGTGGCAGCCCCTGAGATATTGGAATGACTTACTGAAGTCTAAGTAAACTTTTTCTAATTAGTTTTATTCATTTATAACATAAAATGTGAAAATACAAAAGAAAATAGTAGGGGACAGTAGAAAAATGGAAAACAAAAAAAGGTGTGAAGAAAGGGAGGGGAAGAAACAAAAGGCATTAACTTCTGACTCTCTCTGTTGCAGTAAAATCAGACATTAAAATCAAATCTCAACTTTTTACATTTCTATAGTAGTATGCACTAGCCATGTCTGTATTGGCAAATCATTGTAATCAGTAAAACCCAAAATCATAATATTATTTTTTTTCACCTCAAGCACAAAGCTCAGAAGCAGTTTCCAAGTAGAAACAAAAGTACTTATGCTCTTTTCTTTTATCAGCACAGTCAATTTGGCCATCTCTGCTAATTCCATCAGCTTTTGTAACCATTTGTCCATGATAGGAATCGAGGCATCCTTCCACTTTGGTCCATAGAGCAATTTTGCTGCTGTAACTATATATAAAATCAGAGTTCCAATTTTTTTTCAATTCTCTTTCTATTAGACCCAAAAGGAAAGTTTCTGGTTTAATCCTTATGTTCACTTTAATAATTTTCTCCATTAATATATGAATCCTACTCCAATATATATATATTTTTTTGCTTTATCACATGTCCACCATAAATGATAAAAAGTCCCTTCTTTACATTTACATTTCCAACATTCATTTGTAATATCTTTATACATTCTAGATAACTTTTCTGGTGTTAAAGTCTAAGTAAACTATTTCCATAACATTTTCCTTATCTACTAATTTAGTCACTTTGTCAAAAAAGGCAATAAGGTTTGTCTGGCATATTTTGTGTTTGGCAAACCCAGGCTAGCTTCTAGTAATTGTCTTGCTCATTTCTAGATGCTCACAAATCCACTGCTTGATTCTGTTTTCCACCATCTTCCCAAATATTGATGTGAAGCTGATTGCTCTGAAGTTTCTTAGATCTACTTTTCTTCTCTTTTTGTAGATTGGAACCACATCAGCTCTTTTCCAGTCCTCTAGTATTTCCCTGGTGGTCCTGGAGCTTTGAAATATTTTGTTTAGTGAAAGCCATAAATAAGAAAAAGAAGATATCTTTCTCTTTTTTACATTCCCTTTTGTGAAGAATTGTCTTGATTATTGCAACAAAAATTGGGCACAGCAAGAGGGACCATAAAGGGATTGAAAGGGTAAAGCACTGATGAATATGTGCATCATAAATTTCTCCAAGCCAGTAATAGACATGCAGGTAATAGAACGCTAATGCAATAATTTATATTCCTTCAATAATGGAATGCAGTAAATTCTAGAATGTTACTATAACTCCACTTGCAGCAGTTGCAAATAATATCACCATAAAACTTCTAACTTGATTTCAGAAATCCATCTTCTAGGCCAGATTGCTAGGAGAAGGCATGAAGAAAATATTTGATTGACAGTCAGAAAACCTAAGTTCTCTCTATCCAGCAATTAATTCAGAAAGGGCCTTTTATACTTTTGTTGTTCTTTTAAAACCATTTCTTAAGCAAGGACTTATTTATTTATTTACTTGTTAGATTGCCTTTAGGATCTCAACACACTATTGACTGCATTGCCTCTTCCAATTTTTCTTCACAACTATGTAAGATAAGTTGGCTGGAAAAGAATGGCAGGTCACTTAGTTTCTGTGCTATTGGTTCAATGTGAACCTGTGTCTTTCTAATTTTAGCCCAACATTTTAATTATTTAGCCATACTGATTTACTAAAGATTTGTCTTTCCATTGAAATAAACAGTGTGGATTAGAGTGGTTATTTATAATATTAATTAATAATTGAAATATTTTATTTTAAAGTTCAATTACTAAGTTGCAAATCATGAAAGTTAGCTTTCTGAATTAATGAAATTTGTATTCCATTTATGGATAACAATTCTTGAAATATGTCAAATGATAGGAAGGAGAAAAGGAAGGAAGGAAGGGAGGGAGGGAGGGAGGGAGGGGGGAGGGAGGGAGGGAGGGAGGAAGAAAGGAAGGAATGAAGGAAAATATAACACTAAATGATAATGGAGTTGGAACTAACGAGAGAAATTGGAACCATAAGTAAGAAGGCTCCCTGTTTCCTCAGTTCAGCTTAAAATCATAATTTTATAAAAGGACTGTTTTTAAAGATGTCTACAATTGGGGGCATATAACAATTTGAGGCTGACATAGCTTATTTTTAAAACTTTTTTTTCATTATCTGATTCTTATTGTTCAATTCAGGTCTCATCACAATGATAAAACACTTGGGAAAAAAAATACACATCAATAAGCCAGCACTGGAGGAGATCATGGAGAAGACCTCCACAACCAACATGTATTTTCCTCTTGTGCTTATATAAGTAGGAATAAAGCATAACCAAACAGTGCAGAAGACCAACATACTGAAAGTTATGAATTTAGCTTCATTGAAACTATCAGGTAACTTCCTAGCTAGAAAAGCAACAGAGAAACTGACCAGCGCAAGAAAACCCATAAAACCTAACACACAGTAGAACATGGTGACTGACCCTTCACTGCACTCCATGATGACTTCTTCAGACATTGAGTGCATATCAAAATCTGGATATGGTGGAAAAATTGCCAACCATATGATGCAGATAGTGGTTTGAACAAGGCAACAAAAAAGAACAATGAAACTCTCCATTGCTTTCCCCACCCATTTTCTCATTCTAGATCCTGGCTTAATGGCCATAAAAGCTAGGACCACAACAAAGGCTTTGGCTAACACACAAGAAACTGCCATGGAGAAGATGATTCCAAAAGCAGGTTGTTGAAGGAGACACACAATCTTATCAGGTTTCCCAATAAATAATAAAACACAAAGGAAAGAGAGGAGGAGAGAAACGAGGAGAATGTAGGTGAGATTCCAGTTGTTGGCTTTTACAATGGGAGTGCATTTGTGTTTAATGAAGATCCCAAGCACCAGAGCTGTGGTAAAAGAAAAAGAAAGAGCACAAATAGCTAAACTGATCCCTAAGGGTTCTTCATAGGATAAGAAAGTTATGTGTTTTGGAATGCATGCATCTTTGTCATGGTTTGAATAATGACCTTCTGGACAATGAAAACAGTCTTCCATATCTGAAAAAAGAAAACAACAGTTCTGGTTATTGACCTTCATTCATCAAGCCTTAGTATGACATAACTCTCAGAGAGAAGCTAGTCATCAACAGTGACACTGACTATTTAATCATTTTAATATGAAACCATATTCACTGAAGATTAGAGCAAATTTTAGGCCAAGAAACCTTGGCCCATACTCAAAGTCTTTATCGTCATGCATTTCATTCTATCTTAGATATCACATACTATGTATTAGCTGTATATCATTTTTGGTTACAAATATATATGTAATGTATTTTCACAATCCTTTTCACTGTGAATAGCTTTAACTCCAAGGAAATTTCCACACACATGGAAGGTTATGTTTTAATCTTTGTAAATTACCCAGAGTCACTTGTGTGACATTGGTAGTCATATAAATAATCTAAATAAATAAATAATCCAAATAAAAAGACCTGTTAATAACATAGCTTATTCCATTACTTCTCAAAAATGTTTACCTTCTTTGTTTGAAAATTTTCCTTCTGGACATGGATCGCAATCATAGCAGCAAAATGGTTTTGATTCCTTCTTGGTCTTGCTATACCCTCTTTGGCAAGGATCATTACACAAAGAAAGAGGATGTGCCTATCCAAAAATTAAAAATGTTGTGAAGATTTTTACAAAAGCATTTGAGCAATTTCTATTTTACTGGAGAATTTAAAGCTTAGACATGGTGTAATAACTACTATTGAACTATTATAATATTATTGGGAAAGAATACTTGGTCTGCAATGATTTAATGGAATAGCCACCCTTCTTTGAATTTGTCCCCCAAAGTTTTTTCAAACTGGCTCCTGAAGCCAAAGTGTTCTTCATCCTTTGATTTCTGTCACATGAATGTAGTTGATCTTTTCAGTTGATATTCTTTATTAGAAGGATGATTCTTAGCATCTGTTCATCTGTCAAATTTCTAAGCAACACTACCTGGTGCCCCATGACCTTTGGATTGCTCCTGCCCCTCTCCCCTTTGGGGGTGTTGGACTGATTGGAGGGAAACTTCTGCAGCTCCGAAGGGCTGCAGCTGTTCTGCACTCCAGGTGTCCCTTCTGCACGTGGCTGGCATGCCGCCCAGCCGAGGCCCGAGACAATGGCTTCGCTGCTGTCATTGGCCAGTCCGTGAATCCACCTGCTGGGTGGGGAATTGTGGTGCACACTCTGAGATGCTCTCCTCTTCTTGCAGCCACCACCCGGGGCCAAGCGTGTCACCCGTCCCATCCCGTCTGTCCTTCCATCTGTCTTCACAACTCAGAGCTGGCCCAGTGAACGGGCCCGGCTCCCGCCCCTCTCCCCTTTGGGTGCATCGGACTAATTGCAGGGAAACTTCTGCAGCCCTGAAGGGGGAAGGCAGAATGCTGCTGCTGCTGTTCTTTGCTCCAGGCATCCTTTCTGAGCATGGCCAGCGTGCCACCCGGCCAAGGCCAGGGCCAACAACATCACAGTTTCAACGCCTGAAGTCGGCCTCTTTCTGCGCCACAAGTTTCCCTCCCCAACATGTGGGTCGTGTACCTGAGACATCCTCCGGGCAGCAGTTCAAAACCTCGAGCTCCTCTCATGGTGAGGCCAGGGATCAGGGAGGTCCACCTCGACTCCCCACATATCCCCCAGTAGTCACAGGGCCTCCTGAGTGGAGGGGTCCTGGGCCAAGCTGAGCACCCAGTCCCATAACCATTGAAACCAAGCTGTGCCCAAGTCTTGTCTTTCCATTTGTGTGTGGTGCGCCCTCATCGTCAGGCCAGCCAGTCACGCAGCAGAGGAAGCAGAAGAGGGGTGGCTGGGTCTCTGGAGCTCTTTCAGCTGCTCACTGGCCTCAGCAGGCCCCAACGAGGCAGCAGAGTTCACACACCAGCTGCTCAGCCTCATGGGGTGGCAGCACCTGGGCAACACACAGGGCTGGGAAGGAGGAGGTGACGCCAGTTCGTGAAGTTGTTCAGGGGCTGGGGAGAAGTTGGTAGTGCTGGGTGGAGGCAAGGGTGGTGGAGCTGGGCCTCTTGCTCGCATCCCTGCCAGCCATGGCATTCCTCAGGTAGGTGAAAAGCCACCCGCTCTTCAGCCGGGAGTTTCATATCCACAACCATGCTGGCATCAGCTACTGCTTGGTGCTCTGCATGTTGATCTCACTTATGTTCAAGGTGAGCAGCTCTGGCTGGGGAAACCAGTTGTCTTCTCCTTGGGAAAAGGGGGTCCTGCTGAGTCCTATAGCTGCATGTTTTCAAAATGAATGCTCCCCCCTGGCTCTGGGAGTAGGAGGTATCAAGTGATTTCCTTCCACTGCAGAGGCTTTTGCCATTTCCTCTATCTTTTTCACTTGGTACATCTCTCCCTTCTCTCTCTCTCTCTCTCTCTCTCTCTCTCTCTCTCTCTCTCTCTCTGGTTCAATTCCTGGATGATACGGTATTAAATCAGAGAATTACATTGCTATTTATTCTTCTCACTTGGGAGCCCTCTTGCCCCCTGGAGTTTAAACCTGGTTGCCTGGATTTGAAGATCTAACCTAGAAACCCACTTCTGAGCCTTTCTCTCTCTTTATTCTCTGAACTTTTTCCCAAGCCTTAAATCTTGCCCTGTCCTAATTCAGAGGCTTTCACAGAGAGCCAGGCTTTCTGGGCAAATGCCATCAAGGCCAAATCTTGGTGGGCTTCTTGGCTAGTTTGTCCCTTCATGGTTATGTCAGTAACTTTCCTCACCTACCAAAGCAGACAGTGGAGTGACACCTCAGGGGAGCTTCCATCTTCCCCTTCATTGGCTTGGGTTTGGCATGGTGAAGGTTACTGCTCCATGTGGAGTGAAAGAGCAACAGTTGTAAGGAGCACCTGTTGTCTGCACCCTATGAATGAATTCACCATTGCATGACTAAGTCATGGTGTGGTTTGTGATCCAATCCAGTTACTGTCAGAATCCAATTATATTTCATCTTTAATTATCAAACATAGAAACTCCCAATTCTGCCTTCTCTGGATTCTGCCATAAGAGGGAGAAAAGGGGGAGAGCAAAGGGGCTTTATGGCCCTCACTTCCTTCAGCACACTTCAAAGGACTGAATGTGTGTTTATTGTGGCCTCTAAGCTTAACATATCAAAGAAGAGTAATTGCCTTTCATGTAGTTATCTGAAGTCTCCATCCAGACGGAAGAAGAAAGGGGATGGAATTGTGATACTTGAAACTATCACTGGAAGGGGGGTTGATTGGGTGGGACTACTGGGGAACCCCTTAAAACCTTGAATGGGAGAGCTTGAACCCCAAGTCCTGTCTAGCATGCCTGCAACCATTTTCTCTTAATAAAGGATTCCTGTTGGAAGAGCTATTCCAAGAGTTCTGTCTTCTTAAGATGCAAAGTGGGGTGGGTCCTTACATTAGACAGGACTTGCAAAATTAATCCACCTGGAAGGTAGACCCTTGCCGGGGGATTTTGCAAAAATTTACCATGTCAGACAACGAAGCAAGAGAGGGAGAAAACTCCCTGGAAAGAGAGCCGCTGACCCAGTTGGAACCTTGCCAGATGTTGGGATCCGAGAGGCCAGATTTCTCAGAAGAAGAAGTGGTGGAGACACAGGACCACAAGCCTCGCTGGTCGATGGGCGTTGGAAAGAAAAGCGAGTGGGGAAAGGAATCAAGAAAAGTGACCCTGAGACGGGGGACCAAGCAACCAGAATGGAAGCAGGAGATGGAGAAATCCCTGCACGCAAGTGAAGAGGGAGGAAGCTGTATGCCGTACTCAGACTGGATCCTAGAGAGAGCTATTGACCTGATGAAGAGAACTCTCAGCTCCCTAGGAGAGGAGATTCCTGAGCCCTACGCCCGCCCCAGTTCCTGGAGCCACAAAGGGAGAGACACCGAGGGGGACGTGGAACCTGCAACCCCAGGGACATTTACTGATCCAGGAGCTCCCACCCCCTACCGGACCACAGATGGAAATCTGGACGGAAGACACTACCACCCACAATGGAGGCACCGATCCATTCCAAGACGTCCACCGTTGGAGGTGAAATTCAAAGGGGAGCCAACACGCTTGGGGTTTTTCCTAACCCAAGTCCTCAGCTACATGGAGGAATATGGGCAGGACATCCCCAGCGACAAAGCCCGCATCCGGATCGTGCAATCTGCCCTGGATGGACCAGCTGCAGATTGGGTGGTGAACCTGCATGACTCCAATGCCCCAGAACTCAGTAACTTCAACCGTTTCATGTCCTCGTTGAGAAGACGATTTGAAGACCCCCTGGCTGATCGCAAAGCCCGTGAAAGAATAACAACGATGAGGCAGGGCAAACGCCCAGTGGCTGAGTATACACAAGAATTCCGAGCCATTGCCAGCAAACTGAATTGGCCAGAAGACATCCTCCTTGGCCGTTTCAAAGACGGACTAAACTATGATCTATATGATGCTTGCCTGCCCCGAGGAGACCCACATCGACTTGAGGAATGGTACGTCTTGGCAGAGGAAGCAGAGATCGACATATTGAAGAGGCATCGCCGAGGAAAACAATGGAGCCGCCCCCCGCCTGAGCTGACACACCAACCGGTGAAATCATCGGATACAGCCAAGAAGCAGATGGGGTGTTTCAAGTGCGGAAGAGAAGGGCATCGAGCTGTAGAATGCCGCTCAAAGGCCCCCCAGCACAACCCAGACAGATCCCCAATCAACAAACCCAGAGGGTATTCAGCTAAGCCAAAAGAAACAGCCATGAAAATGATGGAAATTGCAGAAAACCCCACCTCTGCTCACCAAGGGGAAAGAACTCCAGCCTACACCACAGGGACGGTGGATGCCTCAGATGACAGCTCGGAAGGCGAACCCCTGGTAAGTGGACGCATCACACCCATCTTCAAAACAGTGACTATATTAATCCCCCCCATGCCCGAAGCTGTGAAGGTGAAAGCCTTAATAGACTCTGGCTGCACCCGCTGCCTCATTAGCCCAACACTAGTGGGGAATCTGGGCATCCCATCCAGGAGACTGGAACAACCAATCTCATTTGGCCAGCTAGATGGATCCATAGCAGGGGGGGTGCCAGCTACCCTAGCCACTCTGCCAATACACCTCTCCCTGGGCAACCATGAAGAGGACTTAACGTTTGTGGTGACCCCAGGTATGGAATGCCCAATGATTCTAGGGATGGAATGGTTGAAAAAATGGAACCCCTGGGTAAATTGGAGGACGACAGAAATCAAATTCCCGAAGGGGGACCCTATGGACTTAAAACCCCAAGAGAGGCTACCAGAATCAAGAATAGAAAAAGCATCCATAGGAGAGGAAAAAAGATTAACAGAAATACCAGAGGAATATAGGGACCTTGCTGAAGTCTTCAGTGAGGAGAGGGCGAATGAGCTTCCCCCCCACCGACCCACAGACTGTACCATTGAATTCAAGCCTGGGGCAAAACTCCCGAAACCCAGATTATACTCCATGAGCCCAAAGGAGAAGGAGGAAATGGAAAGATTTATAAAAAAAAACCTGGAGAGAGGTTTCATTGAACCAGCTAAGCCTAAAGTGGCTGCCCCGGTCCTTTTTAGAGAGAAGAAGGATGGCTCTTTACGTTTATGCGTGGATTATAGGGCCCTGAATACAATCAGTGAAAGCAACCTATACCC